CCGGAGAATTCCTAGGTGTAGACATGTTCTCCCCATTGTTTTTTATGTTTCTCTATATATGCAAAAGAATGAATTCCATGCACAGACATATCAGGGTTCCAGCACATATGCCTTTGTATGATATCCTCAATGAATTTCAAAAGGGAAGCAGTCATATGGCAGCTGTAGTGAAGGTTAAAGGAAAGACCAAAGACCCTCAGTTCTTTGATGATGGAAAGAAATTTGACGAGCATAGAGTTACCAATGGGAATTCCCAACTAACCACCCCTTTGCTGACCAAATATGACACCAAATCAGATAGCGTTCTTGTCGATGTTGAGAAACCTTCAAGGCCTATCACCGTCAAGAAAACTCCTCAACCAAATGGTGTCACAATAAAATACTTGAAACATTTTTCAGATGACATTGAAGATGGGGAAATCATTGGTATCATCACCCTAAAAGATGTTTTTGAAGAACTTCTCCAAGTAAGTGCTGTTTTGATAACATTCATCCATCTGTTACTTTTCTAACCTTTAGCTCAGCCACCAGACTTGTGGATATACCATGCCAACTAAATTCTTCCGTTCTGGTGGATATATCATGCCAACTAAATTCTTCCTTTGCCCTGTCTAATCTTCTAACTTCAATTAATTAAGATCAGTGGTTTGGCAATTAATTTTGTGAAAATGTGTTTTATCATGGGATTTCCATATTGTTCCTCTTCAAATATTTTATGCAAATTGGATAGATGTACTTGCTTATCCCTTTCTGCATTGTAGGAGGAAATTGTAGATGAGACTGATGTATAGGTTGATGTACATAAAAGGTATAATGTTATTATGGTTTCATAGCTTTTCATCACCGTCACTCTTTCAGCTTGGCTAATAATGTCATCAAACATGAAACTATCCTTTTTTCTATTGTTTTCAAGGATACGAGTGGCTGCTGCCGCTGCTGCTTCATCTGTGGCACAGGCTCCATCCAATCGTAGATTGATTGGCCAAAAGCCTTCAGTAAGTAAACAATATTTATTTCTTAGTATCATGTTTCTTTTGCGTGCATCATTAGATCATTAGCAAAGTAACAAACTAAAACCAGCATACTGTGGTGATATGTTACCTAGGATATAATATTAAATTGTGTCCATGATTAAATAGTGCAGAGAAAGAAAACTTTTGGGCATTCTCCATCTATGCGATCTCTCCAAACCTCTTTGGAAATGCATGTCTGGAGACATCCCCTTGGACTGTTTTTGTGTTTGCACACATCTTTCTGACAGGAAAGAGATTGACAAAATACTTTTCCTTATCAGAGACATTGCCAGTTGTGGCTAATAATTTGGAAATAGCACATAATAAGCTTCTGGACTTTTAAAGATCTACAGCGTGTTCCACAAGTATCATGACACACTCTCCGCTTACAGCTGTGAGCTGGTGAGAAATTTCCATTAATCATCAATTCACCATTGATATCATTTCAGAGTGTTCAAAGTAAGGAAGGCAAATGACATAGAAGTCTGTGGATGATGATTCACAAACAGGGAGATCTCTGGTTAACCCAGGGGAACCTCTTCCAGGCAGTGTCTAACAATCTTAGTCGGTCAAAGTAGAATAGAAGTTGACCGATTTTCTCTCCTTGCAGTCTGTTGTAAATTCTCAAATTAGGTTGGGTATATTGCAGCTTGTGCATGTAGTTCAAAGTGAGAAAACTAGGCATTTTTAGTGTAAAAGAAAATTAGGGGACATTTTGTGTATGTTAGTGACTAATTCCACTAGCAAACCAGCTATCTAGGTATGAACCCTCCTAAATATGGGTATTGGCTGGTAAGAGTGGTGTTTTGATAGGATAATTTCCTTTCAAATGTCTTGATACAGGTAAAACAAATAAAAAGGTTTTGTTTAGAGCAAGGTGATCAGGCTGATCTATTTCTTTCATATGCACAAGTAGTTTTTAATTGCTACCACCTGTGGCTATGAATTACTATGACAACATGAAATGTGATAAAGGCAAAAATATGCCTCTCTATCTATACAAACAATTAAAACTGCCCCTTTCTTATAATGAATAGCCAGATCATTTTTGTCTTATAAAATAATTTGAGGGGTAAATTTGAAAGTAATGCATATATTTGAGAATAAAAATGTCTTTCAGTACTGCTTCCCATTTTTATTTCTTCATTGTTTTTCAGTCTTTTTCTACATTGTTTCTTTTCTTTCTTCATGTAAGTTTTCGTTTTGTTCTTTTTTTTCTATGAAATTGAGACGGTTGACATTGGTGTTTAGGTTTCATTTTCCATCAATTTAATTTTTGGGTTGAGGAGCAGGATATGTGCCCTTCTAGGTATAATTTTTGTTTGGGTATGTGTTGTTTTGGTTTTTCCATTAGTTGTATCTGTTTTCATGCATTGATTTCTTTGCATGTGTTGGTGGAGGCTTTTTCTTTGCATATTACTTTCATCTCTGGGTTTTTTTTTTTTTTTTTTTTTTTGTTAATGGAGTTTTTTCATTGCATGTTACTTTCATATTTGGGTTTTTTTTTTCTTACGGTGTTTTGCGATGGTTTTTTTCTTTCATCAGCTGTAAATTATATATATATATATATATATATTTTTTTTTTTTGGTGACCGAATTTTTGAAATGTGGATTGCAAATTGATGGAATTGGTGTTTGGTTTTTGATATTATCTTTGTTCTATGCCTATAGTGTTTGCAATTGTTGTTTTATTTTTGTGTCTTTGCTCATTCTGTTTCTTTTTTGGTTTTTGCTGGAGGGCTTCTCGGTTTTCTTTTTTTTTTCTTTTTAATTTTGCTATTCCTGTTGTTAATGATTTTATATTCATTCTTAATGTTAATGGGTTATTTCTGTGCTTTTGTTTTGTTTTATAAGTTTTTTTTTTTAATACTTTTGTAGTCATGTTATCACTTTTTAAGTTTTGTAGTTTGATTTTGCTTGTGATATTGTGGTTGTCAACAAGTTGATCTAGAGTTCACTGAAGAATCCTTGCTAAGAACATTCAGATTAAGGTTCGATCATTCTTTATTTAATTTTGTTCCTGCTTTTAAGTGCATGTTCATCCCTTTTTATTTGAGTGTTTTTTTTTTTTTTTTTTTTTTTCAGGGTTAAGACTTGCATATCGAGACTTGCATCATTGGTTGGAATGCAAGTCATCGTCTTGTGTCTTTATGACTTAAGGCAGAACAAACTTGTGTGATTGGCTAAAATGCAAGTCCTAAAGTTAGGATTAGTAGTATTTCTTTGGCAATCAAATTCAAGGTCATCAAACCTGGATGTTGGCTAATTTTGCTAGATACGTGGATTTTTCTTTCTAATACCAGTTCTATTTATTTGAGATGGCTTTAGCTTTAGGATTTTGTTAGGGTTATCTTTGTTGTTACGAGGTTGCTCCATTCTGTACAAGACAATTTTTTTGGAATTAGGATGCTTATGATGAAGAGGTATTTCTCGAACGGGTGATGTGCATGAGCGGGTTGCTGTGGTGTTATGGTAAAGGTAGAATAAAGCTGAAGTCTGGTAATTTTGTTTTTTTTTTTTGGTTTTTAAAGGGGGGCAGAGGGCCCCTTGTTGTAAAGCTGACAGATGTTTCATTCAATGAAACAAATATTCCCAGGATAACTCATTTGCTGACCATGTCATTTAACCTTATATTTGGAAAAAGAAAAACATCATTAATTCATTGAAATAATGAATTTTTTTGAGGAAAAAGATTTTTTTTTGAATTATTTAAAAAACAAGATGGATAAAGTGCATTTATAATTTTAAATTTTTTATTTGAATTTTAATTTGATCTTTTTTTTTAATTTTAGTTTGATCCTTAATTTTTAAATTATTTCATAATGATTCTAAATATTTTATAAGGTGTTAATATGGTCTCTTTACATAAAAAAAAAAAGAGAATTATAAATCAGGATAATGAATTCAAAATTATTATTCTTTACAATCATATCAAAATATATTTATTATAAAAGAAATAAAATTTATAAAGTTTTTGAAAGGAAACAAAAGTATATTTTTCATTTGATTTTAAATTTTTAACTTAAAATTTGAGATAAAATGGTACTTTAATTTTTTTTTATAATACAACAATTATAAATTTTTTTATTTTTTAATAAATACATTTTAATATGATTACAAAAAATAATAATTTTGAATTCATTATCTTGATTTTATTTTATTTTATTAAAATTTATTTTCCTAATATTTATAAATTTTACTAAAAATATAAAGTTAAATCTTATTAAAGATAAAAATTATTTTTAACAAAGAGAAAAAATAAAACATATCAAAATAATTTAAACTAGAATGTAAATCCTGCACTATAACACTACGAAAAATCATTAAAAAAATCTTAATATCAAATTAAAAAAATAAATTTTAATGAAATGCAAATGATGTTATAAAGCTTAAGTTTAAAAAAAATGAATTATTTAAAACTAAAAAAAATGATTACCGATAATCACAAAATTACTAAAAACAATAGGTACAATATAGCTTAATAATAAATCAAGACAAAGTTCAAGATTCAAAATTACATAGTTAAAAATTTTGTCTATTCAAAAACTATATAAAACACTATGTGTCTTATATACAAATAAAAGCTATATTAAGTAATATTATCAGATCTTAATTGTTAAAAAAAAAAAAAAAAGACAAATACAAATTCCGTGGGAAAAAAATTACTACTTAGTAATTTACAAACGAATTGGAAGGTGGGGTGAGGGAACCTTCCCTAATCAAATAAAAAAAAGTAAAATTACAGTCCTCTCCTCCTTCTCTAATCACAACGACCCAAAGGGTAGATTTTGATTTCCACCATGAAAGTTTGGTCAATGAAGTCGTTTGTATATGAAATACTATTAGACGAAAACACCCTCAAACAAAATCTCTAATCACGGTGATATCCAATTTTTTAGCTGAATAGTCTTCTCCTTCCCTTTCCCCCACAATATATATATATGAATTACTATTAGACGAAAACACCCTCAAACAAATCTCTAATCACGGTGATATCCAATTTTTTAGCTGGATAGTCTTCTCCGCCCCTTTCCCCCACAATATATATATATAAACCAACATTACCTTCCCAATCTGTCCCTCGAAACCTCGCTTCATAAAGGTAAGTTTTTTTTTTCCTTTTCAACAGTTAAATTCTCTTTCTTTTATTTTTTTTCCCTCTGCGGCCAGACACAGCATTGTTTCCTAATTCGTTTTTCTTCGTTTCATGTAAGGATTCCCTTCCTTGTTATGTATTCGTCATTTTCCTTAACAGAGTGTTAGGATTTCTATTTTCGGTTTATCTAATTCTATGATTCTATTTTTTGATTAATTGTATTTTGATCCTTAGGTTTTCTTCATCATTAATTACAAGAAAACTTGTGAATTTATGGTTTTTTGTATGTAAATAATTTTAGATTGTTTTTCTTCAATCCCGTCGTAAAAATTAAGGTTTTATGGTTTAAATGTGTTTAACATTATTACAATTATGATTCTCTTGAGACTATTTTCTTTATATTTTGTCAATGTTGTGTAAATTTTTGTTGCTTTGTTTGCAGGTTTATAGCTGTCCAGTATGGGGTTTAATAAGGTTTATCAATGCTTGATGGGTATTTTTCCTCAGGTACCTCTTTTTACTCATTTTTAATCCAATGCTGTTATTGGCTTTATTTTGTTATATAAAACACAAAACGTAGTAAGTTGGAAATTTTCAACTTTTCTTGTGATCCCTTTTTAGTCACTTGTAAACCATCTTGTTAAAATTCAATGGGTTGCTTCAGCTTTGGATTTTCCATATTATTTCCCAAATTGTAACTCTATACTCCAAAAACATAACAAACATCCGGTAAAAAAGTTTTTCTTATGCCTTCTGCACAGGTTGATTCTCGTATTCTAAAAGCTGTTGCTATCGAAAACTCTAAGGATGTCGATGCAGCAGCAGAGATTGTTCTGTCTGAGATTATGCCTTACCTATCTAAACAAGCTGTGGCTGCTAGTTCTTCCTCACAGAACCAGAGTCCTCGAGAGCAACCAAATGAAGGTAGCTTTTTTCATGATTTAGTAGTAGACTTGGTTATTCTGCAATGTACTTAGGCTATTTTCATGGATTTGCCTAAATCATGCAAGTTTGTGGAGGATTCAGTTAATTTATCTGTGCTTTCTATATCATGGATTAGAGGATAATTGCTATTTAGTCTATGCATGTCTATTATTTTCATATTGGGTTTTATTCATTTATTTTTTGACCTTTTTATTCATAAATTGCTTGTTGAACCTGCAGCTGTAGATGAGGAAGAAAACAATCAGTTGAGGAGGCGAAGGGCATTCTTGGGCAAAAGAGCATGCTCTTCTACAGGATCGTTGTTGGAACCAAATGAAGTTGTCAGAGATGCTTGCCTTACAGGTGCTGCCAGCAATGTGGATTCTTTTGAGGCACCAAATATAGCGACTACTTCAAAATTCCATGAGAACAACAGTAATGAGGCTGCTGATATTGAAACTGAGGAATTGATTTTGTTAGGGAACCCAGAAAACATTTCTGAAATTGGGAAAGATAAGTCTAGTGTCAGCTTGAATGCTTTAGGGATTGAGAATTCTCTGCTATATGCAGATCCTGAAATCAAGGAGTCAGGTTCGTTGAGTAAAGACCAAGCCATAGACATCAAAGATGGGTTTGTGAGGACTCCTCATGTTTCACCAATTACCTCAGCTGATGATTCTACCTCACTGCTGGTTAATACCGGTAGTAGTGGCAGCTCTAATGATTATTTAAAATTTGATGGGCCTGTGGGAGTGAATGTAGATTTCTGCAGAAACATTTCATTAAATGGAACCATGGTAGGGGAAGAAAATGCTGTGACTCTGCTGTTTCCATCAACTTCTCAAGAACAAATGCCAGAAGGCCTGAGAGCTGGTCCTTGTTCTGAAAGTGGTTCTATTATTCACTCTACTGATTCCGAGAAACAAGAAAGAGGTTCACTAGAACTTAAATCCCAGCAGGACTCCAGTAGTGAAATGGGTGATAATGAGGATGATACCTTCAATTCTGTTGTTAGTAGGTCTAGTCAAACATGCAGAATTGATCTACTTGAAGAGATCATTGAAGATGCTAAAAATAACAAGGTACTCTTTGCTCTCGAACTTTTTACTTCCTTTTGTAATTTTTAGCGGTTATCTAGGTATGAGAATGAATCCTATGCAATGTTAACAGTGCTACAACTTAGTCTGTTGTGTCATTCAATTGTGGCATGATGAATGACTTATTGTGAGATTCTGATGTTATTGGTTATATAAGAAGCTTTTTAATATGAAAAGTAGTTTCGTTATTTCTTTTGTTCTATTTTGGGAGGACAGACCCTTAACTCATAAGATTTTGTTGCAGAAAACCTTGTTTCAGGCCATGCAGTCAATTATGAACTTGATGAGAGAAGTCGAACTTCAAGAGGAAGCTGCAGAACAGGCAAAAGAGGAAGCTGCTAGGGGAGGTTTTGATATTCTCATCAAGGTGGAGGAACTTAAACAGATGCTGCCACTTGCAAAGGAAGCAAATGACATGGTTGTTTACTTGTTAACAACCTCATTTTTTAATTATCAATAATAGAGTATAGTTCTATGATTCTTTAAAAAGTATAAAAACTCAGCTGTTGGAATTCCTTTTGCAGCATGCTGGAGAAGTATATGGGGAGAAGGCAATTCTAGCCACTGAAGTGAGGGAGCTTCAAAGTCGCTTGCTCAGCTTGTCGGAGGAAAGAGATAAATCTCTTGCCATTCTCGATGAGGTATCTTGGAACAAATTAAATTGGTCATCTAGTTCTAGTAGATATTTACTATAACATCTTGTCTTGATATTATTTGCTCTGCATGGTTCATTTGTCTACTCAGTTATCTGTATGTCATAAATTATCATTATATTTGGTTGATCAATATGTTTATCCATGTGGTGGAGAGTTTGGAGAAGTTGAAAAATTTTCACAAAAAAATATCGTATCTTTGTGCAATAAACCAATGTTTGGCTGAGTTTCATAATCCTGAGATAAATAAGCCATTGCTTGAAACAGATTCATGACTGAATAAGTTGTTTGGAGATTGTACTAGATCATCCTTGGAATTTTATGGTGTATTTAAGAAGAAAATGATATTGATATGAAAGACTTTGAGCTCCTTATACTCTCATCTTATTCCTGTATACATTTATCCATAGATGCGACAAACCCTCGAAGTCCGACAAGCTGCAGCAGAGGAGTTGTTGAAAACAGCAGAGCAGGAAAAGTGGGAAAAAGAAGAACATGCACGTAATGCTCTTGCTGAACAAGAAGCCATTAGGGTGAAGGTGGTTGAAGAGTCCAAGATTTTACAACAGGAGGCAGAACAAAATGGCAAGGTAGCTTTCATTTCTGTACAATCTGTACTATCCCTTGTGAGTCATAAAAAAAGTTTAAAATAGATTACTTATTTTTTACTTAATATTCTATGTTTTTTCTTCACTGCAGTTACGTGAGTTTCTTATGGAGCGTGGTCTGATTGTTGACTCATTACAGTAAGTCTTATTGCCTGATTATTTATTTTTGTCTATTTGTATCCAACATTTTATCTTATTTTAAGTCTGATTTATGAGTTTGCTGGAAAATTGTTGACTGATAGAAGTGGTATTGGTTATTCCATTCCAGTTAAGTTGATGTGTTCTTGGTAGTAATCAGAAAGTAAACAAATGGTGGGGCAAATATGAATCACCATCTATATGATGGTTATGCTTCTGCTATTCAGGGTCAATCAGCACCAAGGATATTCAACTCCATGTGGTAGAATGGATGAATTCATGCATAATATTATTATTTATGGATATATTTAAAACTATGTTCTGACAAACTTAAAGTGTGTTAAGTTTACTAGCATTGATTTGTCGTATGCAAGAGGAACTGAATAGCAATGCAGAAATGGTAACAATTTACTTTTCCTACTTTTTGCAGGGGAGAAATATCTGTTATTTGTGAGGATGTGAGATTGCTTAAAGAGAAGTTTGATGAGCGTGTTCCATTAAGTAAATCTATATCCTCAAGCCAAACTAGCTGCATCCTTGCCTCCTCTGGCTCATCTCTGAAAAGCATGGCGTCTGATCTTGGTCCCGAGCAGGGGGAGAAAGCTATAACCCTAGAGAAGAGAAGCTTGACACCATCTGTTGATAAGCAATCACCAAAAATCAGATCATCAGAGGAAAGATACAAAGCCGATGGCAAAGAGCTGTTGGATGACGGATGGGAATTTTTTGACAGAGATGCTGATTTATGAATTGCAGAGTGAAGCTATGATGCAACATAAACGGGTCCCTTCTGGCTTCGGTTATAAATGGCGTTTATAAGTCTGCATTTTTAATGAAATAATCATTTGCTAAGTAAAAGGATCCTTGATTCAAGCACTACTGAGGGACTTGGTATTTCTGTCTTTAGCATATAGGCATTTTCCTTTATAACATTATATTTCTATATTAGTGGCAAAATACTATTATTGCTCAATCTTTTTACAGCATTAAGTATTTGAACAAGTGAGTGAATTTAGGCAGTTGCTTTATTTTTCTGTCCATATCTTTACAACCCTTTCGATTGAATGCCGAAGCTCGTGATTCTTTAATCTTCACGTTGATTGAGCTCGTGCATGGCAGGTAGCAAACTTGGGTCGGTACTGGCAGTTCTTGGATTGAATGTACCATGTAATTTTAGGTATCTTCTGTTTCTGGCTTTATAATTCATTTTAGCGGAGTAAAAAAAAATACTAGTATTTGGATTCCCTGTTGATGTTTAATTCAACACTTCGGTGGATTAAATAATCAAAAGATGGAATGGAAGCATTTAGATGTACGGTGAAGTGCACAAGAGATGAAGGAAATTGAATTTAGATAGGTTGGGTTTTAACTTGAATAACCAAAGCAATTTTGTTAATGCGGAGAAAGCTAAAACTAAAAGTCTTAAGATGAAGAACTTTAGGGCCTTTTAGGTGAAAGCAAATCAAGCTTCAAGAAACATGGTGGCAAGATAAACCTGTGGTGGGAACTCTGGTTTTCTATTCTTTGGAGTGGCAGAGAAAGAGAAGATTTTATAGAAGCGGACGAGCAAGTTCACTATTTACAAAAATTGAACTAACATGTTAATTTTATCAGCTTTTTCTTCTATAATTCATGAAATCCAAAACTCTCAAGCCTCGCATTGTATAGAGAATTAGATTCCAGATTGAATTGAAGCGGGTGTGGATCCATTCCAATCCAACCCCAAACCATAAGGCAGGGTAGCTAGTCATGCCAACACAAGAGTAACACAGTACATCTCCATATTATATAAAGCCTAGCCCGCTGCTCTCTAATTTGCTTTGAACACCTTTGCCATGATCGATCCTTCATATTCCTCATTGAAAACGAGCTTTCTGCTATATCAACAGTGGAAGGAAATGAAACTTTTTCTTTGGTAATATGCGTAAGAAGTTTGAGTTTTGTTGTTGAGTTTGGAAGGCCGTGGAAGATTTTGAAGCCCTTTTATAGGAAGAAAAGCAGTTTGAGATGCGAGTGAAGCATATATGTGGTGGGTGACAACTGTTGGCCCCTACTTGGTTCACTGGCATTAGGACCCAGTAAGAAGACAAAGCAGAGGCATTAGCTTGTCTGCTTGCCAAACTCTCTTGAAAAAGACTTGTCGTCAACATCTCCCCCTGGACGGTCATCTCGTCTGGCATGCTTTACCCTTTTCATGCTTTACCTTAGCTTCATTCATGCACTTGTCATAGAAGATATGACCGAATGAATATTTTTCAAATTGTATTGAACTTGTACAAAGTATAAGATATATATACAGATTATGTTATACATAAATGAAATAATAGTAATTATTTATTCTAAATCAGTGTAGTTAACACAAAATCTTTGTTGAAGTTTGATTTTTTTCATGATTTATGTGTCTGATTGGTTCTTTGATATAGCCTTTACATTTTAACATAATCTGTCGATTGAAGGATTTGTTTTGCCTGTGACCACAGCTGTTAACTGATTCTCCTTAATACGTCCCTGCAAGATAGGTGTACCATCAACGACACCTATCTTGGATCGAAGAGAAGCAAGTTATGTTCTTGAGACAGGTTTTGTGAGCAAATCAGCTGGTTGGTCCTTGGATGAGATGTGAGATGCTACGACTAATCCCTTGTTGACACAATCTCGAACAAAATGATAACCAATGGCAATGTATTTCATCTTGGAGTGAAACACTGGATTAATACAAACATAGGTAGCTCCAATATTATCACAACAAACAGTAGGTGTTTTTGTGAAATGGATGCCTAACTCAATAAATAAAGATTACACCCAAGCTAGTTCTGACATAGTGGTAATGACTGCACGATTCTCTGCTTCGATAGATGAGCGAGCCACCTAAAGTTGTTTGACGGAGCACCAAGAGATTAGAATTCCAGCAAGATAATGCAAAAGGTGGATGTTCTGTCATCATATTGCCGGCCCAAACGGCATTTGAAAAGGTTGTAACACATGATAAACTTTGTGGTTGAACAAGAAGACCATGATTGATTGTCCCTTTTAAGTATTGAAGGAGACTTTTAAGGGTGAAAAGGACAATGCATGAATTGAGATAATTTATTGACAACAAAGGCTATGTCAGCCCTTGTCATGGACAAATATTGCAATCCACCAATTAATTTTCTGTAGAATGTAGCATCAACCTTTGGAGAACCATCATAAGAAGATAACGAGCAAAAAGTGGCCAAAAGAGTTGCAACTTCTTTTGCACTTGTCATTGATGATTTTTCAAGCAGCTGTTGAATATATTTCTGCTGAGATAGAAAAAGACCAGATTTTATCTTCAAAACTTCAACTCCCAATAAAAAGTTCAGTTCTCCAAGATCTTTTAGAGAAAATTTGTGAGATAGAGCCTAAAAAAAACTGCTTAAGGAGTTATCACTTCCTGTAAGGATCAAATCATCAACAAAGACCAAAAAAATATGCAGTGATGGTAGGAGTGGAATAAATGAAAAACGAACTGTCTGACTTAGATTGAACAAAGCCATAATTCTAAACAAAAGAACTTAATGCATGATACCATGCTCGATGAGCTTATTCAAGCCCGTAAATGGCTTTTTTTTAGTCAACAAACATGTTTAGGAAGAAAAGAATCAAGGAACCCAGCTTATTGTTCCATGAAGACATCTTCAGTCAGTGTACCATTCAAGAAAGCATTATTCACATCTAATTGATGTAAGGGCCATTTTCGAGCCCCAACAATACATAAAATAGTTCGTACTATTACCGGTTTTATAACTGGACTCAAAGTATCTTTGAAGTCCAAGCTAGGGCATTGGTGAAATCCTTTTGCAACCAATCTGGCTTTATATCGAGCTATGCTTCCATCACTATTGTATTTAATGCGAAAAATCCATTTGCAACTAATGACATGTTGATTTGGTTGAGATGGAACTAACTCCCATATTCCATTAAGCATAAGTGCCATGAATTCTTCAGACATAACTTCTCGCCACTAAGGATCCTTTATTGCTTGGGACACGCATGTTGGTTCCAATGGTTAAGGTAGAAAATGCCCTTGTGACTATGAACAATGATTTAGGCTTGAATATATAATTTTGAGAACGTGTGGTCATTGGATGTGTTCTTTGTGATGGTTTAGATGCAAGTAAAGTGTTGGGTGGTATGGTGATGGAATGGACTGGTTGAAGGGTTAGAAGGAATGGGGTGAGTGGAAGAACCTGGAATAGACATTGAAAGAGAAATAGTTGGGGAGCAATCTTAAGACGATGATGCGTTTTGTAATGCTATAGAATTTGGTTGATGTTGTCACTTTTAGATACAATTGGCACAATAAAGTGAGAAGGTTTTGGAGAACAATTAGATGTATACCACATGAAATCAGGAATAAAAGCTGTGGATGATTGTGGTGAAGGTTGAGTTTGAAAAGGAAACACTGACTCATGAAAAATGACATGCTTGGAAACATACACTCTGTTAGTACTTGGATCAAAACATTTATAAGCACTTTGATGAAAAAAATAACCAAGGAACATAGAAGGTTTAGATTTTAAGTCTAATTTATATTTGGCATATGGTTTTAACCATGGATAGCAGAAACATCCAAATACCCTTAATTTCAAGTAATTTGCTTGTTCATGAAATAGGACTTCAAAGGGTGATTAAAATGAAGAAGAGGAGTGGACATTCTATTAATAAGATAAGTTGTTGTTTGAAAGACATAGGTCTAAAAGGATAAAGGTAAGGATGCATGATGCAACAATGTGAGTGCTGTTTCGATAATGTGACAATGATGTCGTTTTGCTGTGCCATTGTGTTATGGTGTGTGTGGTGGAGTTTGAAGATAAGAGATACCTTATGTGGCAAAATATCTTTTAGTTTTTCATATTCTCCACCCCCATCAGAGTAAACGAAAGTTATGAAAGTGCCAAAATAGTTTTCAACCAGAAACTTAGGAAATAAAGAGAAAAGATCTAACTTGTTTTTGAGAGGATAGAGCCAGATATGTTTGGTAAAATGATCCACAAAAATAACATAATATGAGAAGACATCCATAAACTTAATAGGAGCAGGGCCCCAAATATTAGTATATAACAGTTCAAAAGGGTGTTGACTTTTTAAGGTCGAATAACCAAATGAGTGCTTGTGACTTTTATTACAATTGCATGAATCACATTGAACATTAAGGTTTTGATTTGAAACACAAAGAAGAGAATTTGATTGAATCATATGTTGAAGAATACAGATAAAAGGATGACTAAGTCTTTTGTGCCAATCACATTTGAAAGTTCGAACGCTAACTATGGTCATTAGTTGCAATTTTGTAACTTTGACTAAAGTAGGCATCACATAGACATCATCCTTATTTTGGCCTCGTGTTAAGATCACCCCTGTGTGTAGATCCTTTACAACAAAACAATGAAGGAAGAATTCAACAAGTGTGTTATTAGATTTGCAAAACTGAGAAATAAAGATTAAGTTTTTCTGAATGGATAGAACACATAAAACATTTGATAAAGAGTGATTGGCAGATTGAAAGTTCAATGCAGTGAAACCTGTGTGTGTTATTGAAAAACCTGAGCCGTCACCAACTATAATCTCATCTAAGCCATCATAGGGTGAATGCAAGGACAAGTTTTTCAAGTTGGCAGTGACATGATTTGATGCTGCTATGTCCATGAACCAGTTCTGATTATTTGACCGAGACATATTGGCACAATCAGCAACAAGATATGGTTGAGAGATAAGTAGTTGTTTGGCCTTTGTAGCATTATCTTGTAATGTGCTCAATCTTTTCGCATAATTGACAAACAAGTTTGTGCATTTGATATGTGCCAGACTAATTTTGGTTGAAGTGGATTCTTGGTTTCTACTTGGGCAAGGAGCTGGGACTTGAATGAAAGTGGTTGGATGAAAAATTACGACCACGCCCTTGATTATGATATTGTTGGTGCGCTTAGTATAACTTGCTGTCAATATTAGAGTTTCTTGAATAACTTCAATTTTTGACAAGAATTGTTCATACTCGGTGAGTTTGTCATGAAGTTCTTCAAATGTGATGGCTGTTTCTCTTGCCCGAATTGCTGCTCCAATCTCCTTATATTCAGGTCCAACTCCATTTTAAATGTGCAACACTAGGTCATCTTCTTCTACAAGGGCACCAAGTAAAGCTAACTCATTTGCAGAACATATGATTAGCTCTAGATATTCACTGATTGAGAGATCTTCCTTTTTAGTACCAGTGAGACAGTCTTTGAGAGTCATCATTGTTGATCTAGATCGTTTGCATATAAACGACCAAGTTTGCTCCAAGCTGCTAATGACATCTTGGCAGAGGCAATAAGAAGTATAACCTTTTCTGTGATAGAGGCAATAATGGAATGGAGTAGTAATTTGTCTTGTTTGCGCCATTAAGAGTATGCAGAGTTAGGTGTCTCTATTCTGTATTTGACTAATGTGGTTGGTGGACAAGGATAGGTTCCATCCATAAATCCCAAGAAATTGTACTCGAATAGGAAACCATTAAACGGAACTTTCCATGATAATTGTGCAACAACACTAATCGACACTAAAGGCTGAGAATTTAGAACATTTTGAGTAGAGGAATGATGGATTTCAAGGTTTGTAGAGCTTGTACTATCATCCATAGAAGTCGAAATTTTAAGTTGTGGTGTAGGAATTTTATCAAGTTTATTTAAGCAAAAGAAGGCTGTGATACCATATAGAAAATATGATCGAATGAATATTTCTAAAATTATATTGAACTTATACAGAGTATAAGATATATATACAAATCAAGTTATACATAAATAGAATAATAGTAATTGCATATCTTAAATCAGTACAAATAATACAAAGTCTTTGTTGATGTTTGATTGATATTTTTCATGATTTTCGTGTTGAATCGTGTGATCTTAACGTTTGAACATAATCTATTGATTGAATGATTTGATTTGCCTTTGATTATAGTTGTTAATTGATTCTCCTAAATTCCATTTACCAATCAAACCCTGTGCACCAATCACAATTTGTGGTAATTGTTGTTTACTTGTTTTATTTACTCAATCCAATTTTTGTAATGAAAGAAATTCATCTTGAAAATAAGAAAAAAAGTTATAAGTAATGGTTCAAATATATTAAATGTTATTTTTTAAAAATAATTATATGAATCAATTAAATTAAATTTTAAAATTTTTTAACTCAAATTTTTTACAAATGAAATTAGTAGAGATTTTTTGTTTATTTTTTGTTTTGCTATTGCTATTTGTTTTTTTTTTTTATAAGAGTTTAGAAAGGAAAAAATTTGACCTTAAAATTTATTTTCTCTCTTCACTAAAAATAAAAAAGCTTTATTATCAATTAGATTATAATTTATTTTTTGATTTGGGAAGGTAAATTCAATTACATTTTTTAATTATATTAATCATTGAATCAAATATATTGATACAATAAAATAATATTATAATTAATTTAAAAGGATTAATTACTAAACAAGAGAAATGAAATTATAATTAGAGTTATAAACGAATTGAATATGAACAAATGAATATATGTCTATGATTTTTTCATTTATTTTTAAATGTGTTTGCTTGATTTATGTTTAATAAAAAATTGTTTTGTTCGTTCGAGTTCAATTCATTTGGTTAGATTAAGTTAAACAAATTCATTTGTGAACATATACGTAATTTGTGAATATGTACATGAATATTAAATGCATATATTTATAAACAATAAACAAATCGTAAGTGAATAAATTTAAACAAACAAATTTTTAAAAAATTATAAACAAAACTCTAATTAGAATTCCGATAAAAAATAAAAATATAATTTTATTATTATTATAAACGAATAATAAACTAATAAATTTTAAATAAATTTATTCATGAATATAAACGAACCAAACAGATTTTTATTTATATTCAATTCATATAGCAAACGAATATTAAAATATTATTTATAATTTAATAAATAAATATAAAAAATATATATTCACCAACAATTCAACAAAAATTTTATTCATTTACTTCCATAATTATAGCCTAATTCAAAACCAATGGTCATCGCCACAACTATATAATTATTAATTAAATTAGGGGAACAAAAAATCAGAATAAAAGAAAATATAAGTTTGCATCAATTATTGCTGACATTAACTATGTGTGTATTTGTAGCCGACGCTACAAAAAAATTGCCGACAAAACCAGCTACGATTGAAGGAACAATGAAAGTAAAGTGTCATCAAACCTTTCAACAATGAAATAGATGCATACCCAAATGGATAACACATTTTCATTTATTGCAAAGGCCAGGTCTCTGATTAGTCAATGCCATCAAGCCCTTCAGGAGCTTCATGATAGGGAAGTACTCCACTTACCAACCATCTGAATCAGCGTAGCTTTTTTCATATAAAAAATTACATGAATTAATAAAAAAGATGCTCATTATTTGCTATAAGGCTATGCACTCGCGTGATTCTTTTGATCATGTTCCTGTTATATAAAAGCATCAAACTGTAGATGAAGAGAGTGAAGGAAACAAGGAAGTCTTTCACCCAATGGATTACATAAAAATCAATAGGTTATTAGAATTAGAATTTAAATTCAGATTATAGTATCTAAAAATTATTCACTGGACCAACTATTATCTTGCTAACTCTCCGCTTTCACGTGTGCCGTGTCGAAGAATGGCCAACCGATAACCAGTCCTGCTCAATACAACATGCCGGCCACCTATCATTGCCGGCCGTGACAAATCAGTTCAGAGTTCAGTTTTACATGCGCCCTCGTGTTTCATAAATTTGCTGTCCTACTTAATCCTCATGGGGGCCGATAACCCTCAACAATTTCACAATAAAACCTATAATTTTTTATTATAATATTATAATTATTTAATTACAATAAAAAATTATATAAGATTCATCACTTACAAGCATAAACTCCATATAAAATTTTGATAAATCTTATATAATTTTTAATTACAATTAATTAATTATACTATAATTATTATATCGTTATATATTACATGCTCCCGTTAGTGTGAACCAATTAGGCCACAGTTTCCATGGTAGTGGACTGAAGCATGCCCCGTTTGTTCTTGGAATCGGATGATTGACGATTGCATATGCGGGTCCAGCCCACGTGAGGAACTGTCCCATTGTTGGTGGAAACGATTTTGTAAGGAAAAAAGTTTTGCTACAAGCTATATCCGATTTAAGGAAAAAGCAAAACAAGAAAATCAGAAGACAAATTTTCTTTTTGGTGATATAATCGTGACAAATATGTAACTAGCTGTGGCCATGGCGGTGATGATAAGGAAATAAATACACAAGAGAAAGCAAAAAGAAGTGGGGTATCAGTGTCAAGAAAATGGTTTGAAGCATGAGAATGTTGCTGCAAACTTGAATGCAATTCCATGAAAAAATCCAAGTTGTCGGGGAGATTTTATTGCATTGGTTATGATGGAGATTCATAGGAACGGTAAGTTGTGTCCCCCAATTTTAATGTGCACCCAAAATGATTTCAATGCAACCAACAAAATCGAGTTGCTTGATGCATCCTTGGTAACTCTGCAACTTGTTGTGGGCTGAACTTGATTATTATAAGCACAAATATCCAGATGGTTGCCTCTGATGATTTAGATCTTACTCTGAAGTGGTTTTTAAGGCTTGGAGCTCGTTGTTGATGTTGAAGAAAAAAGGCCTATCAGAATCGGCAAATGGTATTCTCTGTATAAAATGTCTGAAACAGCTGTAAATTGTGTGCTATCAGCAGTAGGTGACGATGAACTTCCTAAGAAATTAATTGCCCAATTGCAGCAAAGAAACCATCTAAATGAGTATTAATGGTAACCACAACCATTTTTTTAAACTCAAACAGTAGGTATCATTACATGAGACATTTTCAACATGGATAAAAACCAACTGTCGATCAACCAAAATTATAGCACTCTTGTCATTGGCATGGCAAGCGCAGTAACACTTCCATCTATAAGTTTTAGAGTTCTAAAGGATATAGGGTCTATGGCTAACGCACAACCAAAATTTGTTGATATAAAACATTTTGGATTTTACCATAAAACAACATAAACCCATTTAACTGAAATACAGAATAGACAGACAGATTTTTGTGGGAGCCCAAAGATATCAAACACATTAAGGCAGATCATTTCCAAGTATGATAAAATGAGCAACTTGTTCCTTGCCCCTTCGAAAGTGAACCATTGCTGCATTGACTTTTTCACAACAATAATAGATTGGCACAGGCATGCATACAAGTAGATTATATTTGGTTCATTCTGATCCACTTTATTGAACCACTGAAATTTTGACAGTGTAGTAACAAAACAGACTGTTTACAGCCAAAATGGGGTGGTAAAAATGAAATCTAGCAAAAGAGGTTGCTAAGCAAACAAGTTTCTAGCGTATAAAATAAATTAAGCAAAAAGAAAAAAAAAATTGATACATTACAGCCTAGAGTTAGGTACAGCTCTATCCCCATTCCCCAATCTCTACAGTAAGGCACATCTTACCGTCCACCCCGGTTACGGTAGAGGTGATAGAATACATATTTACAAAACCAGGTATCTCCAAACCCATATCCGAATATCTGTCCCTTGCATCGTGAAGCAAACAATATAGGGCCAGGAAAAAAGAGTCGAACTCTCTTCAACAAGCCTCAGAACCCATGTCAAAAACAGGGTTTATACCTAAACATGAGTAACCAACAAGGAATTTGATGAGAAAGTAAGCATTAAAAAGACAATAAGTTGTAAATAAAAATAATGATAATAACATACCAATTAGAACAGCTCAGTACTATTTGGTCATCTTGGCCGCCAAATGCTTGGAGCTGAAACACATAAAAAGACACTAAGAACTTGCCCTGACAAAAACCTACCTAAATGGAGGTTATCTAGCAAGTATGAAAATGCATATGCATATATGCACAAGCAAATGCAAATGATAAAAAAAAGAAGCTTTCTTTTCAATTTTTAAAGAACAATCTACCATGAGAAATGCAGACCTCTTGATCCAACCGGAACCACACCTTCTGGAGGCAGTCTGACAGGAAAGGAGTCTCTGTGATTCATTGCAGGGGGATGGAAGCCCCATCCTTGGTTTGGCAACCTCGTTGACTCACACTGGGGCCCACCATATGAAACATGGCCATAAAATGCTTTGGCTTTATCAGCATAATGCGGAACTAATAGGAGAAAACATAAAATAATATACAATCACATGTCATCAGATAAACGAAGGCATGATAACAGTAGATTGTTCTCTAGTATCTTTGGTGCAAAATATATTTAAAGGAACTTACCAGAGAAAGGTGGTGGATGAAATCTCCAGCTCTCTCTAAGTTCATTTGGGGCCAATTTCATTCTGTCATGACTATTATAATAATTTCCTCCATCAAAGCTTGGTGAAAAGTATCTGTTTGAATAGGGAGGAGGTGGGGCATCCCACATGGAATTCATTTGCTGGCCTGAATTAACATATGAGAACTGATTTGATGGTAAAGGATGAGGTCGTGGAGGGTAGGCCTTGTGATGAAAGTTAGGGCCATCAGGTTGTTGAATATTATTCACTGGATGTAAAGGGTAACTGTTGAAAGAGGTATCACAATCAGAAACCTGCATAGGCACTGGACAATCTCTAGATTCAGGCCCATGATAAGGGACAGTAGTATTGCACATTGAATTAATTCTTGGTGCAACTGATGCTGGAATTATAGATCGCAAATGGTCTTGCCTATTCTGCAAACATAATCAAAACAAATATTAAATAACATATTTCACTTTTATGTAATAATAATAATGATGATGATGATGATGAAATCACACAAGGCAACATAAAACAAGTAGGACCTACATGTATACTTGTATGAATTGTTGAATCAACAACGTTTCCATTGGGGCCAGATATAGGACAAGGAGGAGGGATGGGAGGTGGTGGGGGTGGCAGTGATGATGGCAGCGGTGGTGATGAGGGAGGCACATCATGAGATAAAGGAGGGACAAATGGCAATGGCAAATGTTGATCACACTGCTCACATGAAGTTTGTGCGGTATTGACTCCAGCAGCAGCACTGGTTGAAGTCATTTCAATCTCAGGAGCAACATCCTCCATTTCAAGCTCACCATCAACATCTTCCAAAATATGTCTGCGCTTTTCAATTGCAGGTTTTGCCTCTTGTTGTTCAGGGCCTCCAGAATAGTGTTCTGGAGTGACAGCCTCAAAACTCCCTCCATCAGAATCACTTCCCTCATCCTCATCCTTGAGCATTCGGGGCATACAAAATCCAGGAAGCTGAAAACTTGAATTGCTGAGGAAACAAAAAAAAAAATCTTAGAAATGCAGTTCTAGAATTTTTAAAAGTAATCATAAGTTAAAGAGATCCCAAAATTCATACCTGCCATACTCATCCACAAGCATACCCTCCATGTCTCTGACAGGATCATCCAATGCTCTCTCTGTTCTAGCTGAGCGGCGACAAAAGGCGCCACCAGAAGACGAAACAATAAGTGAATCAAGTTCTCGTATATGGTGGCGAACAACAGACTCCGGAAGGATTCTTCTTTCCAGCCAAAGTCTTAAAACCTATTTTAAAGAAAGTGGGTGAGAAACCAAAAATTCACAAAAAAAAAAAGCAAAAGCACCAAAGTCACTCACCTTTAAGCACTGCCGACGATTTTCCTGTGCAGTAGGACCAGGGGGAGCTGCAGCATTGAGTAGACGAGGCAGTGTTGCTTGAATAGCTGAAGGGTAGATGCCACCTACATCGCCTGCATACCGAACTCAATAAAAACATGGCCACATAATAACTTAGACTAAACACCTATCATCCAGTTAAATTATATGTTCATCAAGTTTTTAGTGGATAAACACAAGTATACCTTTCAAACCCCGGGAGCATTGAATAATGGAATCCACAAGAAAGAACAAGTCCACCCTTCTGTGTAAGCTTGACTCACGTTCCAAATTTCGAGCAACAATTTCCACAACCTAGGTTAAAATGAAGAAATCATTCCATTCAAATAATATAAGTTTTAGGATATAAAGATATATCTGTGTACATACTCTCAGTACACAAACACTTTCTTTCAGTCTTCACTATAATACACCATAAGTCTTAATATAAATCCTATGCCTTTGATAAGCACTTTAACAATCTGCCTAGAAAGAGAACTTCCCCAAAAATATACTTAACTACATGAACAGAAAAGAAATATAAAAACATCTAGAAGCTCTTATAAAACTTATTTGCCCTTATTTATCCTTAAATAACCACAAGGACTTGAAACAGATGATTAGGGATAAAAAGTTTTCATATACCACAAACAGTGACATGTTAAACTAATCAAGACCCAAGCAGAGTATGATAAGAGCACAAGTTTAGATATATTCGTCATTGTAATTTTTTTGGATTGCCTTTTACATAATTGTTGGTTTATTTGGATGACCTTTTTTCCCAAACCTAACAATTTTGAAAAGATTCCCAATCAATTTATGATTTGGAGTCTCCATCTTTGCAGACTTGATTAAGTTGCCAATGTTAGGAAATCGTCTGATAAAAAGTTCATGTAAAACATATGAATAATGAAATTATCAGCTTTTTTCTATCCTTTTCATTTTTAACTACATATCCATCAGCACAATGTCCTCACTTTCCTTCCAAAACATAAATTCTTCTCCACCACAGGCCATATAAACCCTCTTCTGATACCTTAGAAATCCCTCACCATTTTTAATTCCATCAGAATCCAAATAGATCATTAAAACCCAGATATTATGGTAAGAAAATTCCAGCACCAACAATCCTTCAACACAGCCACCATGTTGACATATCAATCCATACAACCCTAATTGATTACCAAATTCCTAGTTTTGCTAGCCACTGCAGTTGCAAAGCATAGCACTCTACTTTTCTAGAAAGTAAACTCACCCAAAGTAGAAAAAAATTAGTCAAACATGTCCTGGATTTGAAAGTTGGAGGAAGATTAAAGATCGATATATGAGAGGAGATTTTATCCTTAAAACAGAAGCAAGAAGAAATCCACCCAAATTTGATTTAGATGATAACGATAACAATAATTTAGTGTCTATGAATATTAAAGTCAATCTCAACATTACATAGAATAACTCCACTTCTGCACATTTACAACACTTAAAAGAGTAAAAATAACTTTTAAAGTAACTTTTGTGGATCTGCATAACAACTATAATTCAAGCAAATAAAAAATGAACACAGGAAAGAAAAGAAATATCCTACCTTCACAGAGACACCAAATTTTGCACAATCAATTGCTATGCGTGTCACACGAGCAATGCTCTCCTTTGTCCTTGTTAAGGTCACAAGCATATTCTCAAAGGATGACAGAGCAGCGTGTGCTTCGGTGTAAATACTGCACTTACCGACACATTGTGGTCTTTCAAAGGCCACAGAGTCACCTTTACCTTCGTCATCAGCAGCTGATGCACATAAAGATTTGTTGGGACAAGAGTGAACATTTGGACTACAATACCCATTGCTTTGAATAATATTAGCACTCTCAGAAGTAGAAGCATGGCAAATTAAGGCATTGGAAGGAGAGACCCTAGCAGGAGAATCTACTCCATCAGCAGAAGATGGACATGACAGGACACCTACAACATCCTTGTCTGAGTTGTCATCACAAATCAAACTAGAAGTTGTCTTCTGCCTTTTTTCAGGTAGAAACTCTTCAGCAACCTCACACCTAAGTCAAACAAGAAAGGAAAATCTACAAATTAATAACAGATATCCACTAAAGACAAAAACTGAGAAACCATATTTAAGGCAGACCCCCTTCAGGAATTCAATTCTTTTATGAGGTCTGTTAATATTAGCATCATGCCTATTTAATTTGCTTCCTATAGTTGTCAGCCACTTTCACAATTGCAGGTGCAAATTACACCATCAAATGTTGAAATTTAATGTGATATCTTTAAGAAAAAATAATTTCAATATTATTACACAGAATAGCTGTGATAAAAACAAGGCAAATATGCTTACATGCTGTTTACTAAGCTGCTGTCATCAGTTTGAGACTTCAATGACTCACTTTTCTCATGACTGGAATGCTCAGCAGTGCACTGAAATGCATTTGAACCATCCTGAGATGATACTTTACAAGTTTTCTCAGTCCCTATGACAGGATCCAAACTCATGTCAGCATGTTCTGAAGTATTTAATTGTTCATCAGGATTTTCAGCGCTAAAATTTCTCAAGCGAACAGGTCCAGCACCAGAATCATCCTTTGAAGGCAACTGCTGATCTGGATAACCACAATTGGGTCTGAAAGTAGCGCTTTTGTTAGGATTAGGGGACAAGTGCTCTAAATTTTCACCTTTATGAGTATCATGACTAGCATGGTCAATAGGCTCCACAAAGACATCCTTATGAAATTCATGCTTCTGATTGTTGGGACTCTTAGAAGGTTGACTGCACATATCTGGTTCCACCAAAGATTTGGCACATTTCTCCAAAGGTATTAAGTTTGATAAAGAAAAAATGTCATAATCACTATTCACAAGCAAATCCACTCCACGTTGCTCCAACCCATTAGCTTCTTTGTCCTGAACGGTTATATGAGAGCAACTCCTTATTGGAGAACCATGACATTGATCATCCAATGTTTTCATGGTTGGTGAATTTTCAGCAGATGCCAGATTTTCTTCATCAGCATTAGCAGACATAGCTTCCAAAGCACGATGGAGGCGTTTAGATGGAGGCAAGGCAGCTTCGCCACCTGCCAAACAGCCTATTTGATTTCTCACTGCTTTACAAGGTTCTGGCCTACTTCCTTCAATTTGAGTGTCGCCATTTGAAGGTGATACATTAGGTGATACATTAACCAAAGCACCCTTCAACACTAAAGATTCTCTACCAGTAGGAGAATCATTGCGGCAGCTTGATGATGTACTCATCTGCTCCAATGAATTGACAGCACCTTCACTAACAGGCTTTTCTTCAGTTGGAGTAGAACTAGTGAACTCATCAGCAGCTGACAGTTTGCCCATGCGAACCCTTGCTCTTTTCACCAATGGTAGGTGCTCATCTCCATCATCTTTAGAATATCTCTCATTTAAATTTTCACAACTATTTTGCAAATTTTGCCTAGCATTATTGATTCCAAAATCCAAATCTGCTTCTGCATCCATTCTAGCAGGAGGCTCAGCATAGTCATTATTCACTCGCTTTCTAATTGGTTTCCTTTTCTTCTTAATGACAGCAGCCTTTACTTGGAAATCAAGCCCTTTGCTCAACTCAACATCTCCCTCCAAACACTCATTGACAGTCTCAGAGTGATCAGGTTTATAACTAGAATCCATAGTGCTGCCTTCATTCAAACTAACAGCATCAGTATCAACGGTGACAATTTCAGACCCATTATCATCAATGCTACCGTTTGACATTAATACAGATGAGTCCACATCATCACTCTCAGTCTCAGAAGCACCTGTAGACTTTCTGGCTCGTTTATTCTTCCTTAGGTATCCATTCTGGATCATATTTGCTGATACATCATCAGCAGTCCTAACATCATTAGATGACATCATAATGTTTTGGAATCTAGAGGATTCCACCCCTGCTGAGCTTCTAGCCCTTCGAACTGGTGGTACCTTCTGCTGTGCAACAGACTTTTGATATCGTAAACCCCCAGGTCTTTTTCTTGATGAGTACGTAGTCAATACAGGTGTTTCTTTAACCAACATCGTATCTGGAGGTTCCTCTGAGACAGATTCTTTTTCACACAGAGCATCTATTTTTGCCTCAGTTTGAGCAACCTCAGTTGCAAGACTAGGATAATTTCGATTGGTAACAGCATTTGAAGTTTCTAATCGAAACTCTAGTGTTCCCTCACAAGTGTCACCCAGATCCTTTGATGCAGATGAGTCCACTGAGTTCCCACAATTTGTCTGGGTGGCTCTATCAGCAGAATTAAAATAATCAACCTGGTCCTGCTTCTTTGACTTCTCATAACTTTCAATAATTTCCTTGACAGCACGAACAAAATCTGCGCCCTTCCCTTGACGTTTGATCAAAAGAGATTGTTTCTTCTCTTCTGTAAATGATTCTACATCAGCAGGATTACAGAAGGCTCTGCATGACAAGATATCCATATGAGAACTAACAAAAAAAAATATGTAGAAGGAAATTATGTATGAGGCGCAAAAGGATAGAGATAAGTTCAAACAACCAATAAATATAGATATCCAAATGACAAAGACCACCAGAGAAAAAAGGTTTACAAAAATTTAATATAGTAACTATATTAGCTCCTGGAAAAAAAAAAAAAAAGTTAGCTTTTATCATACTTCCATGTGTCTAATTCCCAAGGGCAATTAGCTTACAGAATATCCCTTGATAAATAAATTATTATCATACATACAGGTGCAAAACATAAAAAGAAAGCATTTCTCTTCAAACCCCCCCCCCCCCTTTTACATTTTTTAAAAAGGTTTCACAAATCTTTCACATAAAAAGTGAAACAAACACAATACCATTAGGTCAAAGAAAGTTTAGTTACAACACAGTTGATAAATATATCAATGAACTTGTGAACCCAAGTTATCAAAATGACTCCTTATATTTTTGCTAGTCTTTGAAAGATTTCTAAATTTAAAGACTACATCTTACTACGATGTATCTTGGATGACATCAGCATTATCAAATAACTAAATAAGTTTTCCTAAATCTAAAAAATGGACCAGTAATGTTTCCAGGTTCTTGATATTCTAGAAACTTTTTTCCAGCATGTAAAACTTCTTTTCGACAACATCTCTATTATGTAAAAAAAAAAGTTACAAGAAGAAATATCACAACCACAAACTGAAAAGAAAAATGACAAAAGTAGCATCCAAATTACCCATACATCATGTCTTCACTTGGAAGCCTCCAAAAAGTCCATTTCAGATTACAGTGGCTCTACCCTTTGAAAAATCAAGTCTAGGTTCTCTAAATGAAAACTTAAAAATTTATTATCAGGTTACATATTATTATAATATAAATGGAAGAACCAAGGACAACCCAAATAAAGCATAAAGCTAGCTGACCATTAGACAATAACAAGGAAAGGAAGATCCAATCTACAATCAGGAAAAGACCGCTCATGTAACCAGCAGGATACTAAGGTCTTAATAAGATTCAGATTTAGCATCACCTAATGTAGGGTACTACAGCTTTAAAAACACAATATGAGACTCAATATTACAATAATTTGCAGTAATGAACTAAATTCATAAGGAGTTTCAAAATTCGTAAAATAATAAAATATGCAAACTTCACGTAGAGTGCAGCAATGCTCCAGTAAGGAGTAATTAACATTAATTAGAAGGAAATATCACCGCCTTGCAAAAGACAATAGGAAAACGAAAGATTTAGCAACCAAAGATCAGTATGGCTCAACATAATAGAAAACGGAAACTCATAACTACTCCCTTCTTGTATTCATTGCCTACATAAAAGAAAGCACCTATGGAATGAGGGCACTGATTAGCGCAAGAGAAAGAAAAGGAAGCAATTGAAGCAGCAGTGAAGTAAAAGCAAGATATTTTGCCCACTCTTGGCTAGACTTAAAAAGGTTTATAATCTGGTAGCTGTTTAGGAGCACTTTTAGATTGTAGGGTTCTGGGAAAACAACATCACTAATTTTAGATCAATGCAAACATGTTCTTTTCCACCTTATTTTTCATCTATGCACCACTTAGCTACCATATCCTCACCATAACTTCATTCTACATTTGAGCTTGGTGTGCTTTATACTATATAAGGGTTATAGCTACATGGATCACGTAAACAACTTCAACACATTAGAGTTAAATATGCAAAAAGCTTGCAATATTTTAAATAAGTCAACATTGACCTTGGAGTTCAACAGCACCTAACAAACTACCTTCATGAATAACATTAACTCGAGTTTAGTTCAACATGCATCCACTCAAACAAATCCCCAGGTAAATTCATCTCTACCACGTTTACACTTAATGGTTTAACTAATATGAATAAACAAATTTATATGGGAAAAGAAGAAAACAAAAGCAAGAGAAGCCAAGAATGCAGATGCTTCCATAATTGCAAATTTTTTAACAATACATCATCAACATTAACTCTTGAAATCCTCCCATCCTATAATACTAATTATAATGCACAAAAACAGTCTCATTTAAAATGTTTTAATTGAGCATTCAAGCACCCATATCTGGCTGCATAAAGAAGCAAAACTTACTATATCATAAACATTCAATTCAAAGATAGATGACAATGTATAATTTAAAAGATACCTCATAGATTTACGTATGGAAAGTGATGAAAGGAAATTAATTCATCCATCTCCACATGATTATGCCTTTCCCTCTGGTGACAACAAAATATCACCACCGTTGACATGGGTTAGGTGGTTAGCTTTCTGGGGAAAAAATATTACTAAACAATGGATCCATTGTCGTATAAATATACTGAAGAAGAAGACGAAATTAAAGTAATACTGATGATAATGTGTAGTAAAAATGGTTGAAACAATAATCTTAACAAGAATAACCAAATACTCTTAGACATCAAGGACATGGTCACTGCAATTATTTCAACAATGGTGATGATTATGACAATGGGTTGTCAATATAGTTCAATAAATCATCTAAATATAGAATGCCAAATGCTTTTACACATCAAAGACGTGGTAAACCCAAATTATCCTATTCATAATGATGAAAATAACATATAGATCAATAAATCATTTAATGAGACTGCCAAAAGATTACATGCAAGGACAGATCAAATCTAAATCATATTCCCTTAAGAATAAAATTAACTCAACTAACATCAGTCACCAAAAAAGTTTTACAATATTACATAAACATCAACAAGAAACACCAAAAACTAAGACCATAGAATTGCAACTTGGCATGATTAATTAATAAGTTAACAGAAAGACAATAGGGGGCAAAAAAGAGAAAAGAAAAAGGCTGAATTGAACAGAAAAATAATATTGAAATGTGCACTTACATTTGCTGGGTTCCAAAAAAGTAAACCAAAACCTTCTTCCAATCAGATGAATAGCCCCACTTCTCAGGCTCGCTTACCTGCCACAATCAATCAGAAACATAAGCCTGACAGGTAATCATTATATCACTGAAGGAAACCAAAATAAAGAAAGTAAACGGGGCGAGAGGTAAAAATAGAAAAAAAATAAATAAAAAGCATAAAGACAACAGAATAGGTTAGTTGGGAGAATTAAGAAATCAAAAGTAAAGAAGTTAGATATGAAAAAAAAATTAAGGAAAAAAATATAAATCCACAGCATCTAAGTAATTTTTAGCAGCATTGAGAAACCAAGGATTCGATTTTGCCCACAAACAGTTTTGCAAACAGGATTTCTGACTTAATTTTCTAATAGATGCATTCAAGTTTCTCAATTAACGAAATCCAAGCACATCATCCTCTTCGGAGTGGCGAAAAGTAAATATAAAAAATAATTATTTATCAAATATGTAAATAAAAAGAAACCCCCTGGAGTTCCTCCTTTTTAATACACTTTCATCACAGAAACAAACCCTAAGGGGGAGTTTAGTTCGCAGAATCTTGGATTCCGGAAGAAAGTGTGATACCTGAGAAAATTTGATACCTGGGGTTTTGTTTATTTTTAGGGCATCTTGTAATCAAATTCACTTGTTTGGTTGGAAGGAATATTGATTTATTAATTCATTTATAATTACCATAATTTCCTTGACAAGCTATAAGCAACCTTTCATTTTGTTTTAAGAAAAAATACCCAAACGACAAATGATACCTTTAGCAGCAAAAGAAAAAAGAGATTTTATTTTTTTTAATTAAATATACCCAATTATGGTGTTTAACTAGGCATCAAGCCATAATTGTTGTAATAAAATATAAAAAAAAATCAATTATGACGTTTGGAAGAGCTAAACACCTTATATGCTTTTGTAAACATGTTGAAAAAAGCATCAAATAAGGCATTTGTTCAAAGGAAACGCCTTATTTGAATTTGCAAAGATTCTAGAAAATCGTCTATTAAATAAGGCGTTTGTAAAAAGGAAATGTCTTATTTGAATTGGCTCTGTAAATATGTTGGAAAAAACATCAAATAAGACGTTTGTTTAAAGAAACCCCTTATCTGCTTTTGTAAAGATTCTAGAAGATCATCTATCAAATAAGATGTTTGTAAAAGGAAACGTCTTATTTGAATGGGTCAAATAAGGCGTTGGTTCCTTGAAATGCCTTAATTGCCACAAAAACATCAAATAAGGCATTTCTTAAAACTGAATTAAAAATAAGACAATTTAAAAAAAAATCTAAAACTGAATTCCAAAGTTGCTTTTCAAAAGGGTAATGGATATGTGACAAATTTCTTATTTAGGTCAATTTGGAAATAAGGCAACTTTCCCCCATAATCCTAAAATATCACAGGGAGTGGGTTTCTAATTCCGAGATTTTGGGTACTGATGGGAACCTTACATTTTTCCCCCATATTACCCTAAACCAAACATGAAAAACAAGTATCCACTATCAAGATTCCGGGGAGAAAATTTGTGGATTCCTCCGAACCAAACAGACTCTAAATAAAAGAAATAATCATGCCATTTAAACAGTGACAGATCCAGGTTTTTTTTCCTGGGGGTTTCCACTTATAATACATATAAAAATCTGCCAACAAATTTATTAATTTAATAGACAGAAAGGACGTCCATAAGAAAATTTTGAGGTGTCCAGTGAAAATTTTTCTTTAAATTTCTTATTTTCAATCTTTGAGGGTGTCATGGCAAAATTTTGGAGGTGTCCAGTGGAAATTTTTCCTTCAAATTTTTTTATTTTTCAAATTTGGGGGTGTCTAGATGAAAGGGTGCATTCAACCCTGCACCTAAATCAACAATAAAAAAATACTTAAAATCTCACATGCAACAAAAAACAAACCCCAAGGGAAGAATAACAAATTTTCTAACATAACAGAGATTTCCAATACATAAAAGATAGGAAAAAAAGATAGTGATATAAGTGTTGGCATACCGTGGCAGGCCAAGCAGGGAACCCTTTCACTTTAGCAAGGACAAGATCGCCGACTTTCCATTGGCGGCGAGCGGCGGCGGCAGCAGCAGCCTTACTGGAGCCTTTCCTTCGGCTGGGTGCCATCGTAGAATATATTAAACTATTATCCCAAACTCAAAGGCACCGAAAATCGTCCAAAAGGCGTAACACTTTGGCACTCACTACCGTTCCGGCGCAACAATTTGGCACGAAATTTTGAAGGCATTTGAAAACCCCTCCCCACCCCCGATTCAAACCGAGTGAACAACTCAAGTCTGTTAAAAAAAAGAAACCCTAATTTTTTCAAAAAAGGAGTTTTTTTTTTCAAACAAAAAGAGAATCACTCGATGGAAGCCTATGCAAGATATTCAAATGGAGCGGCGGTTAGGAGAGTGCTAAGATACGCAGGTGGGTTGTAGGTTAAGAGTGAGTGGCGGAGTCCAGGGTGCAAATCCACGTGACTTACCCAACTAACCAACTAATAGGAGGCGGCGACAAGGCAATCATCGTTCAAATGTTAAGGACCATACTTAGGAGTGGGCTCTCTCAACTCATCCAATTGGTATTTTCCGTTCTGACAAAACCCCAATAAAACATGAAACAATATTCTTATCGAGGTTTGGGTTGGAAATGGGCCCACTGGTTATTAGTCCATGAAAATTTAAGGCCCATTTTGGACCCTTTTATTCTGAAAGGCTGGTTCGGGCTTCAACCATGGTTGCCAGGGCCGCTCCTTTTTCTTTATCCTTGTTGTAAAATGCAAATGATCAAATCATTTTTTTTGTTGGAACTTGGAAGAGAGGTTTTGATATAATTTTCTTCGTAGCTTATATGTAAATATTGTTAGTGGAGGAATTTCAAATTCCGCAATGTAATTTAAATAAAATAAATTTAAAATTTATATGGACTGTAAAATTATTCCAATGAAATTGAAAATAATAATAAAGATAAAATTAATTACAATAAAATGAGCTTAATCATTATAACGGTAAGATTAAAATTAATATTGAGATATATAGATATAGATATAAACATAGCGTTGATAGTAAAATGAATTATATTAAAAAAATATCATTAAAGATATTAAATTAAAACTTTATGTAATACAAATTTGTATGTTTATTTAATTTATTATTTATGTACTTATTTATTTTAATTAAATATTTAATTACGAATATGTTTATTTATTTATTAGTTTATTATAATCAAATTTATTTATTATATTAAATCAATAAAGTCATTTTCAAATTTTTTGAATAAAATAAATGTAAAATAAAAAAAAAGGAAAGATTAACTAATAGGTACATTTTTGTTCCTTCATTGTATCATTAAGGGTTAAAAAGAACAAAAAAAGTAGGGATAAGATTGAAAATGAGGGGTTTTAAATGTACCTAGTATTTTATTTTCACCCCTCGATTGTTTTTAAAATTTTTATAAGTGAAATTATTTAATTATTTTGTTCATAAATTTTAAATATTTATATCTGAAAAGTTATATAATTTATCAAAAATGAATTTTTAAAAAGTTATATAACATTTCAAAAATGGATTTACGGAGGGAATGGGAATGAAGGTTTAAGGAAAATTTTAAAAAATTATTAAAATTTTTTATTACTTAACGTAATAAAAAAATTATAAATTTTAAAATTAATAAAAAATAATATTATTATTTTGATTTTCTTATAAATTTAAATTTCACATTTTTAATAAATATTTTTTCTTGGTATTGATTATTAAATTTTTATAATAACTCTAAATAAATTTAATTCCTTGAAAAAGTCTCTTTATTTATTTATCATGATTTGTTTTTTCAATTAACATATTAGATTTTGACATAATTGTATAATATTTAATAAAATTACTTATATAGCTTTTAGGAGTTTCAACTTTCAGATTTTAATCTGATTTAATAGTTTCTTTATCATCTCTCGTAATATCAAGAGAAAAAATGTTTAATTAAAATTTTATAAGATTTTACTTTTTTTCTGAAGTTAAAATAGTAAGATACACAATTTTTTATTAATTTTAAAATTTATGATTTTTTTCATAATTTTTTTATTACACTAATTAATATTTTTTAAAATTTTTCTTAAATTTTCACTTTTTCACCTTCTAAAAATAATTTTTCAGAAAATATAATTTTTGGAAAATTCAGTCCTATAACTTTTCAGAAATTTATTTTTAAAAAGTTATATAATTATATAAAAATTCATTTTTGATAACTTGTGAAAAAAAATAATTAAATAATTTTATTTATAAAAAAAATTTTAAAAAAATATGAAAAGTAAAACTTGGAGTAAATTTAGAAACCTCTAAAATAATTTTTTTATATTGAGAAAGTAAATTTCAACTGGACCTAAAAGGTTCAGTAAAAAAATAGAAGTGTGAGACTATTACTTAATCCAATTGTATCTCACCGTTAAATCCATTTGAATAACAATAGCTGATTTTTGGATGATAACCGCACCTCACCGAAGGGCTATTGTATCCAAATGCAACTTCACATATAACAATACAATTGATCACATGAAATATAAAAAGGTTAGATGAGATCAAATAAGTAACTAATTCATTAATCTATACTCTTTCTAGCTTCTTTTGATATCTACTACCCTCCCTCGCTTTTTTTTTTTTTATTTGAACAAATACTAATTTAGATTTTGGAGTGTATCATGAAGTTTCAATCCTTGAGTTTTTCTTTTCCTTTATAGATTTGATACACTCATAAATTCGATTTTTAATAAACTCCTTAATAGAGATTGTAATAGATCAAATCGAAATAAGTTTTTATCTGTTTTGAATTTAACTCAACTTTATATTTATAATACTCGAACCCAATTCTATTTTTTTTTTTTTTTATATTTGAATTCGATCTAATTCGATATTATATAAAATTGTATTTGATCACAAATTAATAAGTTATTATTTTTAAAATATAAAATAGTATTATCTAATGTAAATATAAAATTAAATAAACATACAAATATATATAATTAAAAAATAATTATATATATAATAGATTGGTTTTTAATGAATTTATCTAAACTCAATTCTAATTTTATTCTATAATTATTTGATTCGACTCGAAATTTAATTTTTTTAAAAAAAAATTAATCTTAAGAGATTAAGTGAGATCAAAATCCATTATATACGAGTTAATTTATTATCGCAATTTGTCAACCACTAAATTAAATCCAAAAATAGATCAACACACCTCCAATATTATAATTTTTTTAATAAATAAAAAAAAATCATCTTATGTAGATTTGTTTAGATTATGTCCATAGGCATCCAAATTATTACCATTATTATACAAAAAAAAGTACATATTATCATAACGTCTGATCCAGATCAATCCTAACATTGACTATAGAGTCCACACCAAAATTTTTGATCTAGTGGATTGCCACTATGAAATCTGTCATTTTAGGAACACTAAGTTTAGGATTAGAAATAGGTTCTTGCGTAACCAAAATCAGAGTTCGGAGTTCGGTTGGCTATGAAAGGTAATAGACCCTCAAAGCCATCAAAAGATGGTAACCAGATTAAATTTTGATTACCAAAGCATTAATTTTATCAAGTAATAAAATTATAAAATTATTCTCATTGATTCTAATATTTTAGAATAAAAATTGAGAAGGAATAAGCCTTCACCATCATATAAATAAAAATTACGTTTCATAATTGCAGAGGCTCTATGTCGATTAGTTAAAGAAATCAAAATAAAAATCAAAATAGAAATCAGAATAGAAAGGAAGGAAAGAATGATCGTTTTTGTATAGGAAAAATTGATACTTTCAACTTTTCCTCAAAAATATTTTTTGGAAATTTATTCTTAAGGAAAATTGATACTTTCAACTTTTCCCTAAAAATATTTTTTGGAAATTTATTTCTGAGAAAAATTGATATTTTCAATTGATACTTTCAACTTTTCCCCAAAAATATTTTTTGAAAATTTATTTCTAAGGAAAATTGATACTTTCAACTTTTCCTCAAAAATATTTTTTTTGAAACTTTGATTTCCAAGGAAAATTGATACTTTCAACTTTTCCCCAAAAATATTTTTTGAAAATTTATTTCTAAGGAAAATTGATACTTTCAACTTTTCCTCAAAAATATTTTTTTTTTGAAACTTTGATCTTAAGGAAAATTGATACTTTCAACTTTTCCCTAAAAATATTTTTTTTTGGAAAATTTGATTTTTATTTGAAGAAAATAGAATAATAAAAAATATAAATAAATAATAAAAAATAAAGAAAAGTAAAACAAAAATAAAAATAAAACTAAGATAAAAAGAATATTAAATAAACCAAATATAATAAATAAAATAAATAAAAAAACAAATAAACAAATAAAAAACATTCAAAGAAAAAAAAAATCTGGAGCGGTTCGGATCGCGGCTTGGCTCGGCTCAAGGAAGAGAAAACGGCTCGAGGGGAGCGGCTTGGCGGCTTGGCGCGGCTCGGCTCGGAGGGGGCAGGTACGCACGGGTCAGAATCGGGTCGACGCTCGGGTCGGGTCGGGTTTCGGCAAAACGCGCGGATCTTCTGATTAATTTAAAGCCAAAACGACGTCGTTTTGAG